CAATCTCAAATCTTACCATTATCCTAGCCTAGGTGTTCTCTAACTTCTGTGTCCCCTGGAATCACCTGGAGTTAGGAAAGTTTGCTGAGCCCCACCCCAGAGTTTTTGGTTCCATAAGTGTGGGAGGTAGCTCAATTATTTGCATTTATAACAAGGTCCCAGGGTCCACACTTTGAGAAGCGCCGCTTTAAAGGATCAATTTGCAGATTCACAGCTTCTCTGCACAGTTTCTGTTGGGGGCCAGCGCTTGGAGTCTGATGGTCTTTCCTTTCTTCCCTTTCTCAGTTACTCCCTTCCCAACCCAGAGTACTGGCCTAGGACAGTGCTGAACAAAGGGTGGTTCTAGAGAGCAGACCTCTTAGGAGAAAGAATGCTTATAAGACTAAAGCAGATTCAGTGAGGAAAAAAAAATGGTTGAAGCGTGCAGGAGGGAGATTTGGGGAGCTATTATTTCTTCAACAGAGTGCTGGTTACATGAATTGTGCAAAAAGTGAAAATTTGATGAATGATCTGTACATGTAAATACATTATACTTCCATAAAATATCTTTTCAAGAGAGAAAAGAAAAGAAGAAAGCAGTGCTGGCCATGATGCCTATTCCCATTAAGACTCTGAACTCTAGGGTCGGGGATTTAGCTCAGTGGTGCCGCCGCCTGCATCGCAAGACTTTGAACTCTTGGTTAAACTGTGAATTTTTACCCAGCTACCTTAGAATTGCGAAGTCTCCTTACAAGGGCAGGAAATCTGTCTGGAGCAGTCCCTGTCATATCCCTAACAACTAGAAGAGCAAATTCTCCTTAATTATTGAGTCAGTGAAAGAGGAAATGAAATGAGATGGTTTTCCTGGGAAAATGTCAGCACATTTGTTTGAATTGAAAGACGATGTCGAGCGGGTCTTAGCCGATTTAGCTGATGCATTTGGCTCTGAGCATAAGGTCTGCTATTCCATTATCTAGGTCTATATTTTTCCTAAGTGGAAGAGCAGAGATGGCATTTCCATGGTTTGGGTAGAGATATAAGTAAAGGATGACTGTGCCCTATAATAAATCAAAAATGACATGTTCCTAACTATTTAAACTTGCCCAAAGGTTTTTCACAATTATTCGAGGGTGTATGTTTGCAAAAAAAAAAAAAAAAAAAAAAAAGAAAGAAAAAAAAAAAAAAAAAAAATGGAAGGACCCTTAGCTTCCTGTCGCTGCTGCTTACAGCTCTTCAGGTCAGAGTTTAACACGGGTGGCACTGGGCTCAGGTAAGGTGTCAGAAGGAGGCTGTAAGGCGAGAATCCATTGCCTTCTTTTTCCAGCTCCTGGAAGCTGCCTTCATTCCTCGTCTAAGGCTTCCTTCCCTCTTCAAAGCGAACACGGGCCAGTCACATCTTCCTCACGACGCCATCTCGGTGACTGTCACTCTTCCCTATTCTAGGACCCCTGTGATTACACTGGACTCAACTCATCCAGATAATCTAGGGCCATCTGTTTCGGCTTCTATCTGGATGTCCCTCCAAAGCCTCATGCGCTCACGAGTGTACCTTTGGGAGAACGAGTTTTTGGCGAGCATTTTCTTTTTAGCTTAAGAGGTGAAGTTTTGAAATACGGATGCCAACAATTCAGTGGAGCTGCTAAAGCGTGCACAGTTGCCCTTGGTTGGGGAGGACCCAGGCTCGGAAGTGGCTAGGTAGAACTGTGCTTTGGGGGTGTCCTGGGGTAGGAGCGTGAGTGCGAGGACTACAGAGCACCTTCTCCGACTCTTCCTTTGTTCACCAACGGCTGAAGACACGGGGACGCCCCTCCACCCCACTCCCACAGTCCCGCCCTGCAGCTGGAAGTTGGCCGGTGCCTGCTTAACGCCAGGGTCTGCACTCTGGCCTTCCCATTGGCCAGTCGTAGTATGCCCGCCCCAGCTCTGTGCAACCTCATTGGACAGAACTAGGTAGAGGCGGAGCTCGCTGTCAGCACGTGCTCTCCACGCCCAAGCACCAGGCGCGTGAAAAGCCGCGGACGTCGAGAGATCCGGTCTCCTCAGTCAGGGCCTTCGCTTTCTTCCATGGCTTCGCAGGCCTGCTCGAGCCGTGGCGCCGACGATGGTGGCCGCAGGAAGCTCCGCCTGGCAGCGTCGCTGCAGATCAACCCCGCGCCCAGCTACTGGCAGTCTTCGGCCAGTT